TAGCTCTAACTTTTGACCCCTTGCAAACTAGTCAAAAGCTTTAATAATCAACCCCCAGAACATCTGGCCATGTTAAAAGAAAAGTAACCAACTTTTACCCAGCTGGTGTTCTACAACTAGAGCCATGCCTCCAACCCCTATCACTTCTCTAAAATAGCATTGGAACGGTTCTGGCTACCTTTACAAGGGCAGTGCTTATATCAGTCAAGCACTTCAAGACTTAACTTCCACAATTCTCCCATCTTATTTTACTTTTTCTTCCAACCTAAAGCTCTAACTTTCCTATTCAGCAGTATCCAAAGGGTATTTCAATTAAAGATTGTTTGGTTAAGGCAGTTTTTCAGTCACTGAACAAAACCTCTTATACAAGAGATAAAGCACCCATCCACACATTACTCTGAAAACAATTACTAAAGAGGTAAATATTGACACTATGACTCATTTTTAAAATGCTTGTTCCATCATCAAGCTAGTGAAGGGATCTCCCACCACACACAGACACACAAACTTTTTATTTTTTTTTTAACAGACTTTAGGCTGGTCCTGGGTTTGATCTCATCTATTTTTTGCTCAAGGCTACCACTTTAGCCACAACTCCAGTAGTTTATCCTTTTGCAGGTTAGTTGGAAAGTCTCATCTTACCTGCCTGGGTTGACTTTAAAAACAGATCCTCAAACTCAGCCACTTGAGCATCTAGGATTATACTCAGCTTCATCTGAGTTTTTAGGTAACTTGTTTGCCAGTGTTCAATCCTTGTAAGTCTTTCTGTAGCATTGACCTCCAACCACCACACAGATTCCTTTTCAATTATTATACTTAGAGCTAATTTCTCCCATTCAATCCTACCAGTGGCTCCTAGATTTTCCCCCCTTGGCAACATTTCCAATTAACAAACCTTGCTGCTAAATAAAAGCACATACTGGAATAATCGATTGTGGAAATCAACAGAATAAAACTAATTTGAATTGATATTTCTGGTTTCTAGCTTTAAGCTCTTTGGGAAATTTTTAGGGGCTCCTAAATAGCATATTTGTAAATATGATTCTTGAATGACTGACTTAGTATGAAGTCTCTCTTTACCTAATTTAAGGTGTTTGAGAATGGTCAGGTGTGGGTTGGCCAATTGAACCAAAGCACAGATTCCACTCCAGTTGGCCAGTAATATCTTCAACAGTGGTCTTCTGCAATACCACCAGATATTTCACCTGGCTATGATTAGTGCTTATAGCTCATCTCAAAGGGTTGGCCTTCACTACATCCAGGTAAGTTCCCCTGAAATGTCAAATTTTCCCCAGGTATAGTTGGCCTTGAAAGAATGGAGCAGGCCAGTTTCAGGGGTTTTTGAAATAGACTCTTGCTTTTGAGAAGAGCAACAGGGTGTTCCAAGTTGTCTTACCGACCTATCATGCATTTTATGCCCATGGGGTCTGAGATCCATGACAGCACAAATAGGACCACTTGTGTGGCCTCTCTGCCACACAGTTATAACAGTACTTAGAATGTGGACAGAATCACCACAGTATTTACCTCGCTTATCCAATCTCAATTTCAGTCCTGGTAGACTTAAAATTGGAAGTCATACACAGAGTGTGTGCTTCAAGAATGAAGTTGCAACCATACCGTAAGATTAACTAGAGGGTGGATTGAGGCCCTGGAGCCAAGCATGGTCACCATAAGGTCATTAAGACTGGAGTTCCCCATGCAGGATGTTTTCACAAGTCAATACCTGACAAATATTAGACACTTATTTGGGCATTATGAAACTGAATCAATTTGATCAGAAGCCCCCTCCTTACTGGAAGACAATCCCCCTCCCAACTAGAAGGGAAACCTGCTTTCCTGCTAAACAGAAACCCCCAAGACTCCCTCCCTCCTGGTAGGAAACCCTTTAGGTGTAGCTTTTTTTTTTTCTTTTTTGGTAGGTCTTAAGGCTGAACTCTGGGCCTGGGTGCTGTCCCTCAGCTCAAAGCTAGTGCTCTACCACTTGAGCCACAGCACCACTTCTGGTTTTCTGAATGGCTTTATTGGCAATAAGAGTCTCATGGACTTTTCCTGCCCAGCTTGGCTTTGAACCGTGATCCTAAGATCTTAGCCTCCTGAGTAGCTAGAATTACAGTCGTGAGCCACCAACACCTGGTTTTTAATATTTTCTCTTTGTTGTCAGTTGTAAGGCCTGAACTCTGGGCCTGGGCATTGTCACTCAGCTCTTCAGCTCAAGGCTAGCACTCTACCACTTGAGCCACAGCGCCACTTCTGGCTTTTTCTGCTTACATGGTGCTGAGGAATCGAACCCAGGTCCTCATGCATGCAAGGCAAGCATTCTACCACTGGGCCAGCTTCCCAGCCCTTCATCTGAGTTTTTAGTTAACTTACTTGCCAATGTTCAATTCTTCTAAGGACTTTGTGCAGCTTTGTCCTCCAATCAACAAATAAACTTTTCCCTTTTCAGATAATGTTTCTAGGACTAATTTTCCCAGGCCATCCTACTAGAGCATTTAGTTTATGGGTTAAAAAATCTTTTAACAAACTTTTTTTTTTTTTTTTGCCAGTCCTGGGCACTGTCCCTGAGCTTCTTTTGCTGAAGGCTAGCACTCTACCAATTGAGCCACAGTGCCACTTCCAGCCTCTATTGTTTATGTGGTGCTGAGGAATAAAACCCAGGGCTTCATGAATGCTAGTTAAACTTTACCAGCCCCCAAACTACATTTTTATTTATAGTAATCATCAGAATAAAATTGATTCATAAGGTGCTATTTGGTTTCTGGCTTTGAACTTTTTGGAAACTTTTGGGGAATCCTGAATAGCACCCATGTAAATAAGAGATATGAATGACCCTTTAGGAAAGGGGTCTCTCCTTACCTAGTATAAAATATTTGAGAATGGACAGGTGGGTGAAATGGTAGGGTGAAAGGGATGGCCAATTGAACCAAAGCACAGGTTTTTCTCTAGTTGGCCAGTAAGGTCTCCAATACTGGTCCTCCACAATAACATCAGACATTTCCCCTGGCTATGGTTAGTGCTTACTGCTCATCTCTTCACAGGATCAGCCTTCATTCATGCTGATAAGTTTCCCAGAAATGCCAATTGTCCCCCCAACCTAGAGAGGCAAGAGGTATAGTTGGCCTTGGGAAGATGGGGTTTTTGTCTTAGATCCTTACTCTCGCGAACAGCAACAGCAGGGTCTTACAAGTTTCCCCAGGCCGTGTTCGACCGATGATAGATCATGCACTCCATGCCCTTGGGGGTCAGAGGTTCATCACAGTGGGAAGTGGACCACTTGATTTTCTGGCCTCTGTGCCACACAATCTTAACAGTAATGGTGGACAGAATATTAAATCCATTTCACCCAAGCATTTGTTTTGTTGTTGTTGGTTCTGGGACTTGAACTCTGGACATGTGTGCTGTGCCTGAGTTCTTTTGCTCAAGGCAAATGCTCTACCACTTGATCCACAGCACCACTTCCAGTTTTCTGGTGGTTAATTGGAGACAAGGGTCTCAAGAGCTTTCCTGCCTGAGCTGGCTTTGAACCCCAACCTTCAGATCCTGAGCAGCTAGGTTTACAGGTGCAAGCCATTGGCACCCGGCTTTTAACCTAAATTTTCAGTCTACCCTGAAAGTCTGCTTCTGAAACAGTTTCCAGTGCCATACATCTGTAGATCAGCTAGAGGATCCATCCAGGCCTCAGAGTCAAAGTGCGTCAGCTGAAGGAGTTTAGTGAGTAGGACTTTTTGAGTTCTCCCTTCTGGATATAGGATTTAACACACACTTGCGAGCACATATACCCAAGTTTTTGTTTGGACAAGTGCACATTATAGAGCTCAAAAATGAAAATCATTTAGAATGTTCTCAGATCTTTTTCAACATTCTCCTAGTGGATTATCAGGAGCAGGTCTATGGATCCATTTTTCTTGGGTTCCTTTAGGTCTACAATTCTTATTCCCCATTTTAGCAGGTCTCTTGTGATTTCACTTTTTGGTGCACTTAATCCTCCCTATTGTAAGTTTCTTGTTCACCCCTTTCATATTCAACTTTCCCCTTACTGGGGATTTGTCAAAGATGTCTTCCTCCAGCTCCCACATTTTTTTCTTGGGCCAGAGAATGAAAACACAGATCAAGACTCAAATTCTCTTTGTGCCTAAGACACACTCAGCCCATGAAAATTCCCAATCAACAAGTTCATATTCTCTAGTCCAATTTTTCTTCTCATGGTCAATGCATGAGTTTACTTGTTATTGGGGTGCTTCCTTGGGCCCCTTCCTGACATTGCTGATAAACTTTCCATCGTGGGTTCATCATTAACCACAAGGGATGGTGTTTAACCCAAGCTTGAGCTACCTCAACAAGGTAGATGTGTCTCCTGCTGAAGGGTTCCCAGCATCCCCTTGAGTAATAAGGATTCTGGACAAGTCCCCAAATTGTTGGGAATACTCCCACAGTGTACCCCAATATCCGAAGAAAGACCATTGACTTGAAAGAACTTTGCATGGCAAAGTTTAGTTCTGTCAAAGGGCATGTTACTGATAGGAAGCCAATTAAGCAACCACTCTGAGTAGGAATCTGCCCAGGTTTTACCCTTAATGAGTTACTACTTGTCTTGATCAGAAGTTGTGTTCAGTCTTGCTCAATTGTCTATTTTGAAAGCTCAGCTGGCTATTTTCAAAGGGGTTAACAGTTTCAGAGCAACCAACTAAACCAGGACAACCAGGCCAGAAATTTTTAGAAAAATCTTACTCAGCTTGTGCTCTATGAGTTAATCCATGCCTCAAGTCCCTAGAACAATTCTAGTAACAGGATATACTTTAGTTAAAATAGCTTTTTGTAAGATGATGGCCACTCTTAGTTGCTTTACTTCAAGCAATCACTTTGAGAGAAAAAGATTCTAACTCCTACAGAATCCATTCCCAGACAGAATTTATTGTCAGCAGCTCCCTCTTTGGAATGGAGGCTTATGAGCTTTGAGGTGAAAACAGCTTATTCACACATTGCCTTGGTTCCCTTAGGCAACCTCACGTCAGCGGGTGGTTATGAAACCAACAGCTGTGTGGCTGCTTCATATAAAGAACCTGCCTTGTACTTCTACTCCTATGGCTACTAGAAAGAGGAGGCACGTAGCTGTGGACATAAGCACAGAGCTTATTGAGCACAAAGCAAAGAGCACAGAGTGGGCTGCAGCATTTTCAGATGAATCAGTCAGATCCTAGCTGCTTGGCTGACCACAGGGCACACTCTTGATGCCACATTTCTGAGGCAGAGCATTTCCAAGCTGCCAAGACACTATGGTAGGAAGAGGCCTGAAGGAGAAATCTTGGTGAGAAGGAAAAGGTGAAAGTTTGGATTTAGGTTTTAGAAAATGCAAGCCACTTTCTGAATTGCTTGAGGCAGCTAGCAGATCAACATGTTTTCTAGCCCTCTAATGAAGAGTATGAGAACACTTCCCACATCTTACAGTCAACCCTGACTGCCTGGCAGTCTTCTATTCCCTCTTACAGGAGGTAAGCAGTTTTTAAGAAGTCTTAAAGGGTGCTCATTACATTGTTCTGGGTTTAAAAAAAAAAACAGTAACACATTCTTATTGAAACAATGTAGCACTAGATTCTTGTTTGAAGCATTTCACTTGTGGCTTTGCTACTTACAAGGCTTAATCTTAATCAAAATAACTTGTCCGAGCCTAAATTTTTATTCTGTATAATGGACAGCATTATAGCAATGATGGACTTCGTCAATAGTTTACTACATTCTACAGAGGGGTATTTGTTTTCTTTGAACTATCACCTTTTATCAATCTATAAGGTTGGTCTTCATTATTGTACTTCAATACCCCCATTTTATATAGAAAAACTGTAGCTTCAAGAAAAATTTAATACCCAGTAGTTTATAGAGAATTTTTACCCACATTGAATCTACAAAGGGATGAGTGGAGATTCTGCCTCAGACAAGCCCCATGAATAAGATAGGATAAAGAAAGTAATGAGGGCAAATCAAGAGATGTTGTCATTAATCCTTGCCTGTAAAGCAAAGGAGAGGTAGTGTGTGGTGGCCAACCAGTGAAGGAGAGCAGAGTGGATCTAAGTATTGAAAGCAGTATTTTTTTAAGACCCAGTTTTAATTTATATACACAGGTGTTATATAGATTGTCTTTGGTTTAAAAAAATAAAAATTATTCAGCAAATTGCTGAGAGATTCTATTAAACTCTTAATTCTTGGACTAATTCACAAAATTAAGATCTTCGAGGTTCGTTGAGTATGAGACCATTTGGAGAAAGCAAGAGTCAGCGAATCTGATGTATTTGGTAAGAAAGCATATCCTCTGGCTTTAGATCAACTTCTATCTCAGAACAAGAGGAAGAAAATAAACAACATTCTACAGAACTTAACACCTTAAAGATACTAGATTGCTGCATTATTTTTTCATTGTTAGATTCATACAAGAAAATAAAAGCTGAGAACTCCTGGGCCCTTTGCTAGCCTAGAACTAGGTGCTCGTTGTTTTTGTTTTTTTCCTAATTCTTTAGAGATTCTAGTGAGAAGAATTGAGAAAATGCAGACATTAGCCTGGTTAGGATTAATCTTCAACCACAGTGCCTCATTTAGTGAATTTTAAACTGCCCACTTCCAATCACAGACCTGGCACACTGCACCGGGAGACTGGGGGCTGAGGTCCTGGGGTGGCCTGAAGCGCCCAGGTGGCACTGTGCCCAGAGCTCGGGCACAGGGTGGAGCTGGGGCCTGGCCCCTGTGAGCATGCACCATGCCCCAGCGACCACCGACCTCGCCCAGCGGGCCCAGTCACCAGGGCGTTGCACCAGGCCACTGCAGCCTCGCCTCAGGCCCGTCCACCTGCAGCCTATTCATTCAGTGGCGCTGGGTCCCCGCGGTTTGCCTCAGATGCATCCAAGGCCTAGGCGATTGTTCTGGAACAATGCAATGCTGAAACTTGCGTTCCCACACCAAACATTTGTGGGCGCCCTGCAAACAGCATCTGCCAGGAAGCAAGTCCGCGGGCAGCGGGCCGGGGCAGTGCGGGAGCCGCTCCCAGCCTCCCTTCCACCAGCCTGCGCTGTGGGGCCGCTGCGGGCATGGCCAGGACTCTGCCACCGCCCGACATCCCTGGCGCGGGCAGCCCGGCTTGGCGCCAGGTCGCCGCGGAGAGGTGTCCAGTCGGTAGGTCGGGCGTCCAGAAGGGCGTCTGGTGGAGCATTGGGTCGGGCGCCCACATTGTTGCCCTGCCCTCCCACCGGCTGTTGCCTGCCCAGCCCGTGGCCCACCCTGCCCCTCCGGCATTGCCCAGGCAGCCCTTGGCCCTGCAGCCTTGGCCGGCCCCCTGCAAGCTCTCCCCATGACCTGAAGGCCAAGGCTTCCCTTCCCGCAACATCTTCAGAATGGCACTATTGTCTATGTCTCGGGTTTGTTTTCTTTAAGAATTTGAGAAAAAAATTTTTTAAGTAAGTTTTTTCTTGTGAAAATACCGTACAGAGGGGTTACAATGACATGAGCATTGTTGCCTCCTCCTTTGTTTTTCCCCTACCATCTCTGCCCTCCCATCTCCTGGACTACACTCCCCACCCCCATTCCACCTCCCCCCACTACACCCCCCACCCCTCATTTCACCTCCCCACCTCCCCATTTCACCTCCCCCACCGTCCCGCTTCCAAAGTTGTAAGGTTTGTTTTTCGAACTAGCGTCTTATACATCTCATCTCACTGTATCCCTATTTAAACTATTTGTCTTTTTCCCTTCCTCACCCCAAATTATACCAACATCAAATACAGTGAAAACAGGGGTTATACCCTGCGGGAAGGACAAAGCAAAAAAAATAATCACCTCATAAATACATTAGAAAAAAAGTTTCTAAAGCAGGTTTTTTTTTTTGTTGCTTTCTTGATTTTTTTAATCCCTTCCCAGTCCCCCCTTAAAGCATGTTCTCTTGATTTTTTTTCATCCCTTCCCATCTCCCCCCTAAAGCACGTTTTCTTCAAAGCGAAAAGAGAACAGTGAAAGAGACCCCTCAGCAAAAGGGGAAGCCAAAAGCTGATCTGAAGGAGAGCACATCCCTGAGGTATATGTAGAGCCCTTTGACTCTGCCCCTGAGGGCATGTTCCTGGATTGATTGGTCAAGGGGCGCGCTTGTGCTGCATGGCATCTCGTGATTGGTTTCCCAGTCTCAGAGCATGAGTAGGAAGTTTCCTTATTGGATGCCACATCTCAGAGCACAAGTGGGGAAAACACTTTTGATTGGATGGGAGATAGAGGGACACACCCCAGACCATAGTCAGAAACAGCTAATGCATTAGCACCTGAAGCCTGATGGGAACAAGGTGTGTATTTTTGCTGAGTCATTCATCCCTGCCATGTTGGAGCCAATTCCAACCATCACCTCTTATCCATAACTACCCTGCTGAAGTGGTTTAACTCCCTCTGAGTGGCACATGAACACTTGTTACTCACAGGGCTCTGGTCTCCCATGAAAGACTATGCTGACAGAGAGATTGAATGTCTAAATCTCTGTTTTGAAGCAGCAAAGCCCTCTGACTTAAACTTGCACACTTACCTTGAATGCCACTTGATTTCTACTTACAGAAGGCAGATTCAGTTCTGCTTTGAGCTAGCATGGTAGCATCTATGGCAGAGAAATAACTGGACTGTATTTCTAAAGTCAGGTGGAGTAGGAGCCACCATTCCCAAGGGCTTGTATTGTCTTCATAGTCCTGTATTTTGTTGTGGGAAGTAATTTCTCCTGAAGGTACATCCTGAGCTGCATTCAGGCCGAAGATCGTATTTGTGCATCTGTAAGCATATACTTAGGAATCTAAACTGCAGATGAGGCAAGTTCTTAGTAGCAGAACAGTGTGTTCAATATAGAACTGGTAATGTTATTTTGGTAAACAAATGAAAGAAAAATCATAAAAGGACTGATAACTGACGTGTTGAGTGATGACCCTTTGTACAACTACTTAAAGGATAATATGTATATATATATATATATTTATATTACAAAACAATACTATGTATTTTCGGTGAGTGCATATCCACAGTGTAGGTATCTTAAGGAATGGAGAACTCAAATGGATCATAACTGTTAGGTTTTTAAAAAGAGGTAGCCGAGTAAGAACTGCACCACGCACGTGGTATTCAGGTAAGGGGTAGGTTTATACAGTACACCTGCTGGGACCAGGCAAGGTTGGCACTCCACGTGGTTGGGAAAGGCCTGGGAATGAGAGAGAGCTGGGAAAGAGAGGAAAGAGAGAGGAAAGAGCAGCAGAGAAAGGGGAGAGCAGGGAGAGCTAGAAAAGAGAGGGAGATAGGTAGCAGAGAGAGCTAGAATAGAGCAGTGAGAGAGCAGAGAGCTAGAATAGAACAGAGAGAGAGCTCCTGGGCTTGGGCTAGGCCTTATCTAGGGTATGGGGAGGGGAGGGAAAGGTGTGGCCACATCAAATTCAGATCTGACCTCAGGGGATGCAGATGTGACCTCTTCCAGGTGTCCCAGTTGCCTAGGTAATGCAGGTACTGGGTGGAGATTTTGCTGGGAGGAGGGTGGAGTCTGCTAGCCATCCAAGAGCGGACCTTACAATAACAATGCAACTAGTAATGGTTTAGTCTCTTATCTGTTTAAACCCCAGAGGAAGACAGTAAAGACATGAAGATTCAGATAAGATGGAGGCATACCCCAACGTTAGGATACAGCCCTCACTGTCTGGTCCAAGGTGATGGCTAAAATGCCAGTAATCACTTCCAAGTTCCAGGAATTGAGGTGAAGGAACAGAAAGAAGGAAATAAAGAAATACAGAACATGTACGGACTGTCCTTAAAGACAATAGTCTAGAAGCTATCAGGTAACATTTTTCTCTGTATTGTTATCTAAATATTATCACTATTGGGAAATGTGATCACTATTTTACTTAGCCTGGAGTTCAGTTAAATGGAAAGGTGTCTCTATTGATTCAGAAAGGAAGGGTGGATATTATGGTAGGCACCTGAGATGTTTTGCTATGTTTATCAAGGGCTATAGACCTCAACTGTAATGTTTTACTGTTTTGTAAGCAGAATAGATCCTGCATTTTGTGAGCAACTAGAAACTACTTTGAAGCTTAAGAAAAA